GAGAGAGAGAAACGAGAGACGAGGAGAGAGAGACATGAGAGAAGAGAGAGAGAGAGATTCGGAGAAGAGAAGAGAGACGAGAGAGAGAACGAGTGCGTTGAGAAAAGAGCATGAAGTGTGTGTGTGAGTGTGTGTGTGTGTGGAACAGGTGAACGCAGCTCACTTTGCGCGGATGACTTTGATGATGTTCGGAGCGATGTTGTCCTTGTCGTACGCCTTCAGACTATCGAGGAACTTGAAGTCGCCCAGCAGTTTCTGCGACGGCCCCCAGTAGTCTTCCACCATCTTGCCGCTGCCGCCCGGGTCCGGCTTACGCTCCGCCTTGATCCCCTTCATCACACAGATCGACTCCATCACCAGCTTGACTCCTGCGTGGGTGAGACAGTGTCACATAGATGTCACTACATATACAGAGTCTGGTCACATAGATGTCACTACAATATCAGAGGCTGTCACAGTCTACTATAAGTGGCAAGACAAACCCTACTACATTATACAGAGAGCTAACATGTCTTACATACAGGTGGCAAGACAGAACCGGCCTTACTACATATACAGAGGTAGCTACATGTCTTACTATACGGGTGGTCAGACAGACCTTACTACATATACAGAGGCTGTCACATGTCTTACTATACAGGTGGTCAGACAGACCTTACTACATATACAGAGGCTGTCACATGTCTTACTATACAGGTGGTCAGACAGACCTTACTACATATACAGAGGCTGTCACATGTCTTACTATACAGGTGGTCAGACAGACCTTACTACATATACAGTCTGTCACATGAATCTCACTACATATACAGAGGTAGCTACATGTCTAACTACACAGGTTGTCACAAGTCTCACTACATACATAGGTCTTTACTTTTACGCACCTGAGGGAGGATTCTTCATGGACTTCACCATGGAGATGTCTGCAGGTTTCAGGGTGTCGAGAGCGGATAGCGCAGCCTCCAGTGCGGGGATGGCTTCAGCTAGGTCTCCCTCGCACTCATCCTTGATCGCCTGCGCAGCTGCAGCAGCAGCGTTCGCCACAGCCTCATCCGCCGCGACCACCTGCGGGGCGCAGGAGGCACGGAGACGCGTCATTGGTCGTTAGTCGTCACGTGACCGGTCGGTCGGGTCACGCGGGGTCGTTACGGCGCGGCGGACGAACGAGATTGTGCGTTTTACGTTTTTTTCGTGAGATTACGAGATTGCGAGTTTAATGCGTGAGGCGACTTACAAGTGATGAAATGTGAACGTGCTACGAAATTAACATTATCGACCAAATTAAATAAAAAAAAGACAAGATTTTTTTTTATATAAATTTTATGCAAAAAGTTTATGAAAATCATCTAATGTTAGGTTTGTTTGCGGTTGCTGTGCAGCCGTAGCTCGCGTCACTCAGCCGTGACATTAACGCGGTGGCCATGTTTGCGCGGCGCGCGTACCTCCTTCTTGGCCTCCACCTCGACCGTGTCCTCCTCTATCTGTATCATGAGCTTGGCCGTCTCCTTTGAGGTCTTCACTAGCTCCGGCTGTAGGTCCGTGAGTTCCTTCTGCATCACCGACACCTACACACACACAACACAAACACCGCCATCGCGTGAGATGAACGGCTAATAAACGTGACGGCTAGACCACGGCCCGCTGTCAGAAACAAAATTTTTCATTATTAAACAATATTTATAATACACAAAATTATATTATTATTAAGTAGATTATGCTAGGCATAATAATTAGTAATCTATAGTGCTAATAAAAAAACCTTTAAACGTTGATATGCTAGTTAGTTTATGATGAGTAGGACATGTATTGGCCGGTGATGACGGTAGCTAACCTGGGAGGCAGCGAATTCTAGCTTCTCCAGGCCGACGACGTATCTGTTCTTCATGGAGGAGATGTGGTCGCGTTTCTGGCGCAGCAGATCCTTGAAGGTGAGGATCAGCTCCAGGTACGAGGTCGGCGTCACGTAGTTGTGTCGGTTCAACACCTCCAGGTACCTGCACGAGTGAGTGTGGGGTGGGTGGGGGGCGTCAGTAGTGGGTCTTCACCACCTCCAGTACCGCCGATGAGTGTGGGAGTGGTGAGGGGTCACGTATTGTGACCCGCGTGGTCTGGCTGACCACACTGCGACCGGCGCGGTCGCCACGTCGGCCGGACCAGCGCCGCCGAAAACCCTCAGAGGTCTCCCGTACAGCTCCTCTCGCGAGAGCGGACGACGACCGCGGCGAAATATCGCGGGTTCAACACCTCCAGCCTCGCTACTGCCACGAGTGAGTGTGGTGTAGGCGACGTTGAAGCGGTCGGGTTGGGGGTCGCGTCTTCGTTGTGCTGTGTCGCCCACGCCTCAACACCTCCAGGTCCTTCGGCGAGGTACCTCGGCCACGAGTAGTTGGCGTGGGTGGGCGGTACGACCTGAGAACGTCGATCTTTCGTGCCGCTCCAGGGTCGCGGACATGCCGCAGGCCGGCAGTTGTGTCGCGCTTTCAACACCCTCAGCGGGTACGCTGCTCGAGCAGTGAGTGGGGTGGGGGTGGGGGGAGGTCATGTTGTAGCGGAGGACTCCTGTGCTGTCGCTTCAAACCCTCCACGGTACCTGCGATTGCTGACATGCAGCTGCAGTTGTGGAAGAGTGCGTGTTCTGGTGAGGCCTCTGGTCAGAAACGGTCGAGTTGTTGTAGTCGGTTCAACACCTCCAGACCTGCAAGCAGTAGAATGCGAAGTGTGGCCTTACATCGGCAGCCTACTCTCGCTCGCACGACGCGAATACGTCGCGGCCATCCCCATGCGTCCGGCACACCACAGCGTAGTCGCGACGTCTGCCTCGCAGGGTCCTAGCGTGGCGGCAGAGATCGGTGGGGCGTCAACGTAGTTTTGTCGGTTCAACACCTCCACTGTACCTGCAGCACGGCGAGTGTGGGGCCGTGGTGGCTGGGCCCAGCGATGGTCACTAGTTGTGTCGGTGATTCAACACGCCCAGTACCTGCCCAGTGAGTGTGGGGGGGTGGGGGGGTCATGTTTGTGTGTCGGTTCAGACACCTCAGCTACATCCACGAGTGAGTGTGAGGAGTGGTGCGGGGCCGTCACGTATTTGCTGTCGGTCACACTCCAGGTACCTGCAACGAAGTGAGTGGGGTGGGTGGGGGGTGTGCGTCATGTTGTGGTCTCTTTGCCGGATTGTCTGATATCACCTCCACGCCGGTACCCTGCCACAGTGAGCTGTTTGGGGTGGATGTGGTGGACGGTCATGTTTTGTGACTAGCATCAATCACAATGGACTCGTGTAATTAGCCGTTTGTCAATTCGCGTTTAAATATAAATCTTGGTAGCGAGGGTTAACACCAGACTGCTTGCTCATTTCTTATGTCTGTTGTCAGAAAACATTATAGTGTACGGATAGTCAGTCTCACACATGTTACATTTTCGTGCCGAATAACAAACGAGACCGATCAATTCTCCCGCGTTGGTGGTTTATTTGTGGCTAGTAGCTTCGTTTTCGGTACCACGCCGCCGTTTTAAGAAAACATGCTCCTGTTTTCTTAAAGTTTCCCTTAAATAGTTAAAGTTAGATTGTGCTGGGCCGCCACAACGTAAGCCTAATCAATTATAGCCACTGTAGTTTAGATGTTCGCAGTATTGCTTACAGTCAACCAACAGTCGGAATCCACTGTGTAATGCCCCAATCCGTTGTGAGTAGTCGAGTAGTTGTAAGTGCCAGAAGATGTAAATTGTAGTTTGTTAGTCAATTTTCATTGGCTGAAGTAAACTATGTATTGATATTTGTATTCTTTATTCTGTACTCTAATCAATCGACTGGGAATGTGAAAAAAACAAAGAGAAGCCAAACTGAGTGTCACTGTGGCCACTCGAAGACGAGTTGAGCAGTAGTCTGTTACACTCGCCGGTATACTCCGAGGAAGCAGAGCAACTACGCGGTGAGCATATAGCTCATCAGCAGCGAATAACTGCAGTGAAGAATGTGGCGGACTGTAAGAAAGCGCTGCCGAGCACCGCTGTGATGAGCGAGGCGCAGAAAGAGGCCGACGGCATATTCACTCCTGGATAGATAGGGGTCACGAACCTGGCGCTCCTTTCAACGCATCTGTAGGCAAGCGTGCTTTGACCCTCCTGCGCCGATGACCCCCCTCCTTCACATCAGACCCAGGACCAAATGCTAGATACCAAGAAGAACGCGCTGGGCCACTACCGTGGCAACGCACCGCGCCGCCGCATGCTTTGGGTTCTTCTG